TCTCCTGCATTCGGCCTCTCTCGCAGCTCCTATGCACAAATTAGCTCCATGACACAGTTTCGATGTGGGCAGCTGTCATTTTAGCTAATCCCATCCTGCAAATCCACCCTCGCCGGCTCGTTCGCCGCTGCGATTGGAGAAGGGGCTTTTTTGGGCCGCTTTCAAAAGCAGCATCTGCTCGAACAACAAGAACCCACGGCTGCGCGAGGCGGAGAATCGCTCCCCGCGACACCCCCCTGCTTCCAGGCTCGCTAAAAGAAAATGAGAATTCTTGGTTCTCCCCTTAGGCAACATCCTTCCCGGCTCGGATTCGGTTACAGCCTCTCAGCAGGCACCGACTGGGGTTTCTCGCACGGAGGAGCGGAGGGTTTTTGTGGCGTTTCAAGGCGCGGGGGCAATCGGAGCATCCCCGAGGGATGAACGTGCGCCGGGAACGGCCCCAGCGCCCGCAGCCCCACGGGAGGCCCCGGCCCCGCGTCCGTCCGCGTCCGTCCGTCCCCGCCGACACGCGCGGCCCTTGGCGCCCCCCTTCAAAGTGGCCATTTTCGGTTTCTGTGAGGAAACCTTCACTCCGGCTCCCGCCTGAACTTCCCGCTCCGCGTTCGGCAGCGCAACGCGAAGGGCCCGGCCATATTTTAAGCATGTTGGTTTTCCTGCACCGAGTTATCCTGTGGTGCTCTGCAATCAATTACTGTTATACCACCATCATTAATAATTTTCTTAATGAAAATGATTCTGTTGATCTCCGTTGTATTTTAATTATCAGAGTTAAGCATAATTACACTGCAGCTCTGAGCTGGCATGTAGACTCCTTTAGGGCGCAATTTTGTTTTAACACACTGATAATGTAATTTTACATTGTGTCAGTTGTTTAGTTATTATCCAGTTGTACAATTCCGCTGTATTCCTGATAACAGATAATAACCTTAGCACCTCCTATATCCTGAAGTCATTTAAAAAGCAATATTGGAATTTCACAACTAGCTAACTTAATCGCCTTATGATTTTATAATTCCCACAGCTAAATATTTGTACAGGCACCCTGTTTTAACAATGCCACTAAACATACAGTATCCATACATTGCACAGAAATGCTTTAAATAATATCTATGGAAATGTGTGTTTTTTCAGTCTGTGGCACCTGTATTTTCTACAGTTCATCTTGTGTTCAGTCTTACTGCCTTTTTTTTTTTTTTAATCCCTTACATTCCCAGTGGACAATTTACTATTAATACCCCTGTCCCTTCCTAGGCTGCTGTTGGACTCCTCTGGTGTTACAGCTTTACCAGATCTGGTGCTATGGTAGGGATGAATGATGCTCAGGTACATTAAGTTGTGATGAATGTACAGTTCAAACACAAATACTTCCTTCAGATGCATTTGGACCTCAAATTAATGAAACTTGGTAACTTGCTCAGGTACATTAAGTTGTGATGAATACACAGTTCAAGCACAAATACTTCCTTCAGATGTGTCTGGATCTCAAATTACTGAAACTCGGTGACCGTCTTTTGAAAGAACATATTTGGAAATCTATCTAAAGCAGAATTCCCAAAATGAGTCTTAAAATTCCAGATGCTGCATCTAGGGAACCACTAATCTGAGAGCTATTAAAACAAAAAACATGCTTCTTTCTTTGTGTACTACAGTTGCAAATATTTCCTTTTTTTTTAAAAAAAATGAAAAGGATAATGACACATGTCATGAATGTAAAGAGCCTGTACCACAACTTGTAAAAAAGGCTACTAATGAGCTGGCTTCTCCTTTCATAATTTGTCTTAGTGCTGCTGGGATGTGGGTTTAAAGAATATTGATAGAAATAAGTTATTTTAGATTAAATAAAATTAATTTCAAATGTTGAATAATTATTTAGCTATTCATCCTAAATGTACCCTGATGCATGAATTGAAGTCAGTGAAGTGTCTCAATTTACAAATTTATATAAATCTGAATTGAGATTCCACTGGGTAAACATGTCAATGCAAGCCTATATATGTGCATCATATGTATACACACACTTCCATGTTTATTTACTCAGTGAAAATATTAGGGAATTAGCTGGCCATTTTGGATTCACTTTCAGTAGGAACTACATCCTGATCTCCTCTTTCAATGCTGAAAATCTCCCTGTGATTTTGGGCAGGCAATATAAGGGGGAGGACAGTGCCTGGAGCTTCGAGGGAGCTGGAAGTCACGAGGACATTCCTGTGTTCTTGTGAAAGCCCTGGGGAAAAATTCTGTTCTTAAAGGTATCACTGTAATAAGCTAAAAAGAAATATGGCATGCACTTCAGCAGCTCATTGACCAGTAACATTTAGTGCTAGCCAATTCTCCAACTTATTTTTCTCTTAGAAATCTGCCAATTCGGTCTACTCATCTTATCTTGGGTATAGTGAGAAAAACAACTCCTAGGTGACCAAATCACGTATGTACAATTCCACACATTTTGTTCAGCTAATTGCCTTCAGAAATAACAATATATTGCTAAACAAACTAACAAAATTATACACATGCAACTGCAAAATAACATCGAATTACAACTTCATGCCAGCTGACACCATTTCATTAGAGGTAATGGCACTACAGGAGACAGAAAGCTAACACAAATCAAGGCAATGTAACCTGGAATGATGAGATACAAATTGAAGGAAGAAACATTATTGTATTTATTTATTTTACCATCTTCTATTTGACATTGTTTTGTGATCCAAACCTATTAATCTTTCCAGCACAAAAATCCCAGCAGGGTTCATGGCAAGTGTAGGTACTTCATGAACAACAGAGCAAAGTGCGAAGAAATGAACAGAATGTACTAAAGATAAACCACATCTGCAACTTATTTCCCATATCATTTTAGTGAAGCTGCAGGAATTTAATATGTATTTATCAATGATGGTTCACTTCAGTTATAATATGCATCTACATTGTGTGGCATAGGTATCAAAAACCATCTTGAGTGCTATACAATTATCACACAATACTTTGTTACCAAGGACTAAAATAAGCATCATTAGTACAACAAAAAGCAGCATATTTGAATGAATAGAATAACATTTTATTCCAGTTATATTGTGCCAAACTGAAGACAGTTTTTAGTGTTTGAAAAAAAAAGTTTATATCTCAACAGATTCAATCACCAGATAGCACTGAAGCTGTGTAATGAATTAGTCAGTGTTCGTAAGTACTTTGAAGATGAAAAGTCTTACTGGTATGTATGTGCTAAGTATTATTATAACTACAGTAAGAATATAATACTTGATATGACATCATCCTATGGGAATTTTCAGAAACTGTTTTTTGGCGTGAAAGTAGTTTCTCATTACATTAAAAAGAAAGTTGCAGAAAAGTTTGCCTATGAACCTTATTCAATACCATGAATAGCAAATTGCAGCTTTGGATTCATGAAGAAAAGCCTCGCTGCGTTATACTGAGAACACTTTGCAACTTCTTTCACTTGGGTAGCAATCAGAAAGCTGCAAAGGAAGGGCAGCTCAGCCCTTTTTAGATATGAGCCCAGTTCTCTGGTACTGCAGGTGTTTCAGGTTGCAGAATGAATGTGTTGGCTTTCTGTAATTATAATAGAAAGAATTTATAAAACCCTGTTGTGCAACTCATTTTTAACATGCAAATTCCCTGTTTTGAGCGTTTCAACTTTCAAAGGCTTATGGCAGTTTAAAAGCAATCCTCTTATAAGTGTATAAATTGCAATGATTATAGGAACAAGTTGTAATTGTTTCTAGTAAGTTTTTAGGAGTCTTTGATGTTATGATTAGTGTTTTGTATGTTAATATATTGATATGGGTGCTTATTTGCTTGGATGCTTGTATGCTGAAATGGTCACTAGGTTGCCTCGGCAAACAAATCTTTGATCTCAGTAGGTCTGTTTGGTTAGAAATAAAACCTAAAAGAAATTAAACAAGAGTGCATGTGTTCTGAAGTACTCACAAAGTGCTGAGTTTGGTGATTGAAATACTAGGAAGGAAAGTCAGAGTTTTGCAACCTGATCTTCACTGGGAATGCCAAAAGCAGCTACACTAAATAGGTTATTCTTAGTACATGTATTCAAGTAGCTTTTAGAGCATGCATTAATGATATATACCCACATGTCCAGAGCTTTCACAGCAACTGACTAAACAGCATGGTGCATAGTCCAGGGTGCTATGGACTGAACTCAGTGCCTTTGCATTTGAGCCAAAGTAGCTGCTGGATGCAGTAGCTTAGATGTAGATTGTTTGGAGCTGGGAGGGTATCTCATACAAGCTTATATTCACTTGAGCAAATCTGACAACTCACATAAAACAGAAACAATATGCATTCCACTACATTACAGTGAAGCATCATCACATCCTCCCTCCACAAAGAAACTGGAACATTCCTGGATACTGCAATATCAAAGGTAACAACTCTGAAATCTACTTGCACTTATCTGCTGTTATCAGGCTGACATGAGTTTTTATTACAGTCCAATCAAGTTCGAATCCTTCTTACACACTAAAATTTCAATTAGTAATCTGCAATGCAATGTAACATGCAAAAATGCAACCTGGTATGTCACATAAAATGTCAGAAAGAACTCGCTTATTTAAAATGTATAATAACAGATCTGAGGTTTCTCAAGGGGCACTAAGTCCCAGAGAGAAGTGGATGGTATGTCTTATGTCAGCTTATATCCCTCTGTTTGTAAAAAAACATTTAATACATTGCACACATCATGTTGCCTTTTTTAAAAGAGGAGAGGAGAGGAGAGGAGAGGAGAGGAGAGGGGAGGAGAGGAGGGGAAGAGAAGAGAAGAGAAGAGAAGAGAAGAGAAGAGAAGAGAAGAGAAGAGAAGAGAAGAGAAGAGAAAAGGAGGAAGGCACACGGTAGCAAAATAGGAATGCAAGCTAATACATTTTAAGACAAGGAAAAATGCACTAGTCCATTTGTCTATTATGCAATAGGTATATTTCGATGCTAATACCTTGCAAAAGAAAGTAAGAGAAAAATGAGCTTGTGTTTACCTTTGCTGTACACAATGCAGTTGTTTTTGTTGTCTTCTACTCCTTGCCAAGTCACATCCAGCAACCACTTGGGGCCAGCCGTCAGCACCATGGGGACTGCAGCCTTTGTCTTCTGTAGGAAGGATGATAACAAACAGATGCCATTTGCTTGCCTTGATTAAGAACTTGAATAATAATAGCAATAATCATTTTATTTGCAAACAACAAAATCTCCAAACCCATAAGCCAAGGTCTTATTCCCCTGCCTCGGGACTTTTTTTTAAGAAGACATGAGCAGTAAGCTTTAGTTCTTTCACTGATTTGAATGGTAGAACTATTATCAAGGATTTTTTCCGAATGATATTGGATCAGATCTCCAAGATTAAGCAGATCTCTGGTGGCTCTGAATTATAAAGGGAATGCAGATGACTTTCACAGCAAAGAGCCAAGTGTTTAGAAGTGAACTTTAGACACATTGTACTTCATTATCAACAGGATCTCACTGTTTCCTGAAACAGACAGGAAAGAATTTAAAGAATCAGTATCCATTTCAAAGATCTGTCCTGGGTAACATTTGTATTATCATAGGAAATTGTTCTGAATGGGTAATGTAATTTTTCCCCTTTTGCTAAGTGTTGATGTGTGATTTTACTATGGTTGAAATAATAATAATGCTAATGATTCACTACTCTTTGTCTCCAGAAAGACTGTAAAAGTTGTATGAATACATTCAACACACAGAAATAAAACGTGACATCCATTGAAAAACATACAGGGAGGAGATGCACATTTAACAAATCTCCTGTATATATCTGGGAGACAAGGTAGAGGCTTCAAGCCTATTTATGCTTAATTCCTACTAATCATATGGCAAAAAAAAAAAGTGTGCAATCCCGACTTTGTCATTCAGTAAGTGGTACTGAAATGCCACTTAAATTTCCCTCATTCATGGTTCTTGCTCTCTATACCAAACACAAAACCACAACAGAGTACAAAGTACAATAGAAAAGTCATGAAGTAACCCTTTTTTATCTGAGATATTATCCTGTCCAAGGCATTCCAAGCTTTTATAAGAGAATTTGTTCTGCTATTTTCTATTCCATCTCTGTTGCTGGCTCCTGCAACAGTCTATTGTGATATTCTACATGATTAAATGAATTCAAAAATATCAAAACATAGAAAATCACACATTTGCATGGAGATTTCAGATGCTCTGGCCTTATTTATTGCCTAAAACTGTTCTATAAATGAATGTCCTATGTGTATCATAGCACATATTACATTCCCAGAATATGCAAGAAAAGATTTATTGAAAAAATATTACTTAAAACATTTTACTGATATAAGTATATAGTAATATCAATATTTTGTTAAAGATGCTGGAAAAAGAGGTTGAACTTCACGGTACTTCATACTGTTTCCATTGTTCCTTTGCTATCCAACACAGTATTTCTTGCTTGAATTATATTTTATATTTTTCATTTTTGTATAAATGATTAAATCATACCTTTTCTATATGCACTCCACTATACCACATTATTTATGTTTCAAAAATGTTGGAAAACAACATATAAGTTAAGAATTAAATTAGTAAAAAGGGATGTGAAAATTAATGACAATATATCTACTTAATGAATAAATACTGAAAACAAAGAAATTACATGCCTCACTTTCAGATTCTGCTTTTTGTATTGGAAATGCAGGAGCAAGAGAAATAGTGATTATGTGCAGTTTTAGATTACATGAGTCATTTCTACTACTTGGGTTTGAAATCTGAATTTAAAGCCATGTTCTCACTGGCCAGTTAACATGACTTTTTTTTTTCCCTAATTTGGTTAGTTTCATATATAAATTGTCAAGAAACCTGACAGTTCTGATTATGAAATCAGTACATATTATTTACATGTCAACTATAAATAAAATGATGATATAAACGAGGCAGGAGCTGAAAAAGATCAGCACGAGATAAGAGGGAAGATAATCAAAATACCATCTCTGTCTCCTATTAGAGAAAAGTCTGAACTTTCAGTTTCACCTACACCAAAACAGCCTATGGCTGCATTAATTCCTATATTAAATTACAAAAGTTACTAGCCTTGGCACAATGTTAGTAACAGGGTAGACCAAGGCATGTTCCTACCAAATGCTGAATTTCTCCATTTGCCATTTCAGACAAGCCATTACTGTGTTTTTTGTACTCATATAAAAATATATTCTTAGTCTCTGGTAATCCCAAGTGTAATCAACTGATAGTGAAATACTATCCAGGCGGTAGATTTTTCCAAGTATGCTATATGTGATTCGAGAACTCAAACCTTCTCTGTTTTTAAGCAGGATGCTAAGTGAAAAACAAACAAATCAAAACCAAACTAAGTGTTGAAGATGGCATCAATTTAATTTTCTGCAAGACCTAATTCCTATTTCTGCTTTTAATAAATTGAAGGTTTAGCCCCATGTTATTGCTCCTGATTTTATGGAAAAAGAGGACATAAGGCTGGTGCCTCCTGCGTTTTGACGTGGAGTCTCTGCAATAGCAGGCAGGCTGAGCACCAGCAGTCACGACGTGAGTCCACGTGGCAGTCTCCTGTTCACAGTTTTGCATGAAACTTAAGAAACTAAGTGGAGATCACGAAATTAGCTTCCAGATCAGTAAAACTTGTAATCAGGTCAGCAGCTGTGAGTGGTTACTAGGTGTAGAGACAGGCAGGAGGAGAAATGGGGTGTTTCTTTTCACAGCTCTGCTACTTGAGAAGCACTGGTGGACACCTCAGAGGAATCTCCCACTCTCCCATAGCTCTGCTCCCAAGCTGCATAGATATGTAAATAAACTTCTTTTAATATGAAAGCAAGACTTCAGAAGGCCCTGGCTGCTTGTGAAGCTTGGCAGCTCAACTAAGGGAGATGGGCAATGACTTCTCTTTGAAGTACCTCAGAGGCATATTATATGAGCTGTGAGATGAGTCAGCACGCTTGCTATGGACCACGGCAGCATTTCTTGGGGGTCTGGAGTTTTGTGAGGCTCACACATTCCCAGGAGACTTTCACCAGTGGCAAAGGCTTGTTCCTCTTGTGGCTTATTGCATAGGAAGAACTGAAGCAAGCTTGCTGATTCCAGAAAGGCCATTTCCCTAAAATGGTTAAAATGAAAAGACCCCGGTCCAAGATAACAAGAAGCTATGGTTAAATCAGTCATGCCTTTATCACCTCCAGATTAGACTACTGCAATGTGCTACACCTGAGGCTACGTTTTAAATCCATTTGAAAGCTGAAGCTGGTGCAAAATGCGGCAACTCAAAAAGCAGAATATTGTGCTTGGAGCGCATTACACCAGCGCTTTCCAATCTGCACTAAGTGTCTCTGGGATTAAAGGTGCTGCTATAACCGGAGAAGTCTGGGACCTGCCTGCCTGATACCTGTTTGAGAGCTGCCCAGACCTTCATTCTGACCACACAACCACAGCGGAGATCCACCAAGGCACATGAAAAAGGGCTTTCTTGGCTGCAAATGTTCTTCATGATAGCTCTTTACCTTTGGGATACCATGCTACCTGAAATAAAGCATGGTAATGCTCTGGCACTCAGAGCACACTAGGACAATCATCTTGTAATTCAGAAGATGTATTTGTTTCAGTGTAACATTTAGTTGTTTATTCTTAAAATGTGGGAGAATTTAACTTCTTTATGTTATGGCTTTTTACAGTTTATTAGAGTATCTCTAGCCTAAAGAAAGGTGCCTCATTTTTTATTTAAAATTGTATTTCAGCTAATTCAGAAATGTTAGTCAACTGTTACTTGATTAGTTTTTAAGATTTAAATGAACTTTTTTTTCATGAAACAATACTATAGCTGCTTAAAAATAAGAGTTCAAAAAGCAAAATTAAACTTTATTTCTCCCTCCTAAAGAACTGCTGCCAATTACTCAGATGCATAAGCCATATAGCCCAAGTCCTACCAACAAGGACCAGCTAAACTGGGTGTCTGTAACATGGGACCATACAGCAAGAACCTTAGGTTTTGGAAATGATGGCATATAACGAAACTGTAATATAGTTCACTTCTTTATAGTAGGTAGATGAGTTTTACCTGAAATGTTATTTCTGTTAAAGTCTTCATATTCCTACATGCCATAACCAGACAAATTTGACAAGGACAAACAGGGTCGAAATCATGATCTCTCAGGGAACAATTAGAACCAACTAATGAGCATAAAAGAGGTCAAGCAGGCATCCACTTTTCACTAACCTTTGAAGCAACTGGACAAACAAGGGAGGTAACCCTCAATAAATATTTATATTCAGTCAAGAGGTTAATGGAGCTAAAAATAGCGAGCATGAAAATAGCCGAAAATAGTTTTGCACTCTAGCTAAAAGGAATCAGTGCTGATGAGGTAACGTTAGATGGGCTCTTCCCTGCAAAGATTTCTAACATACGATTTGTGTGGCCCAGCAGAAATTTGAGGAAACCCCTACACAGAAGTGAAATATGGCATGAAAATGTTGTTTGAAACCCATGAAATTCTCATGACAGGAAAGAGATGCTCATCACTGCTAGCTGTTTGCCAGGAAGCCAGGTCAGAGCAAGTAATAGGTACTAAGCTAATGCTCAGAAAGTCACTGTGACACGACTACACTGTCCCAGGCACACCATTCCAAAAAGTGTCAGAGTTATTTAAGGGTATGTACTATTGTACTATTAGAGTTATTTAAGAGTATGTACTATCGTACTATTGACTGAAAAATCGCTACTTTTCCTTTTCCTTTTTTTTTTCTTTTTCTTTTTCTTTTTTTTCTTCAATCAATAAAGGCCTCTCTAATGTCAAAGCTCCCTCCACAAATTACCCTCACCAACAGAGAGGAAGGTTGCCACAGACGGAAGGTACTCAAGGGTCTTGTTTCTAATTCTCTTCTGGTTCCCCCAAACAGATTTTCACTGCAAATTTCTAAAGAATCTGATTTTCCATAAGTGATAGGGAAGATTACTAGAGGTCTCCATGCCCTTAGAAGATGTTTCTGTGTTGCTCAGTGCAGTGCTACTTTACATGTCAATTTACAACAACACTGTGCTGGAAGGAGAGCGGTAAGAATGCCCCAAGAGCCATCAGATATGAGCCTGGGATAGCAAAACATCAGTTAAT